CCGATTAAATTCACGACTACACCTTGGCCGAAAGAAAAATTGAGCAACACTTTGATTCAATGAACGAACAACCAAAGGTCGAAAGTCCGACTTCGAGCTTAGGTTGCCGGAGTGAAGGAGTCCAGAGACTTCTGATTCCGCCGGATGGAGGGTTGTTGGTCCAGCAGGAGCTCCAACTAATTGCCTTTTCGACATGCATTTAATCTCTATTAGAGATGATAGAAAAGTTTTTCCAGCACATGTGGAGAGCGGTCTTCATAAATTATTAAGGGGTTCGTCCGTTCGATTGTTCGGCCCTCACTTTTGGCATTTAAAACAAATTGTTGTTCTACGCTAGTTCGATTATTTGACCCTTGGGGGTGGCTACTGGGCGACGGCCGGACAGGAGTACCCATGACAGGACAGGAAAAGTTTCCCTGCTGTCTGTGCTGATAATGATGGAAGTCATCACATGTGAGTGGCGAGGAGTAAAGTGTTTTTTGCTCTTTGGAGAAGGTGTGAGCATGCTTTGTACATATCAATATCGTTTTAGGTAACCCCAGGGCAGCAGCTGTGTCGACTGCTGATGACCTTTTAATTGAAGTGCCAGATATTGAAGCTTGAAGTTTTTACTTTCCCGTTTAATGTTAGAGTCGCCTTGAAATGAGAATCTGCAGCCATGCACACAAAAATGCAAATAAACGCTTGGCCACTCGGCATTCAATAATTCGCGTTCCACAGTTGCAAAATCAAATTTTACGACAAGCCGCCAAGCCGCGGGAATCCCTTAATAAACAGTCAAGCTCCTAGGCAAAGTAGCGAATTCCATCCAAAACAAAACCACCCACCCTTGCCGTTAATTAAACCCTTTCGTTCTGTTGCTGGAAATCTGTGGGCAAAGTTTTTCCATTAAAGGAAAACCCAAGAAGCTGAGGACTGCCCCAGGCAAACGAAATCAAAAAGTAAAAATTTATGAAGCGTTTAATTGAATTAATTAAAAGCAATAATACCTTGAAATAATTGCGCCTAATAGAAAAAGTTTCCCACCGATTGCCATTCTTAAAACAGACTTACACTTTCGGCTACAGATAAGGAATACCAAAGAGGCATTCTCGGCCCGGGCTTAGACACTCAGAGTTATGCGACAAATCCTGGACAGCCACCAGCCATAAGTCAAAATTATCAACAAGATGGCGAGGCCAGGAGCAGGACCAGAAATCAGAGCCAGGACCTAAACCAGGACTCTCCAACTGCCAACTGTCACGCACGTAGGCCACGCAACATTGCGAAAAATATGTCTTTGATGTCATAAATCAATTACGAGTGGGATTGCCCCGAAGCCACCACGGCCCAGGACGCACCAAAGCCAGGATCGCAGCCGAAACAAGTTGTTTGAGGTGACTGACACCCCAGCCACCACTCCTGGCCACCACTGCTGCCAGCCGATTTTAAGTCTCGAGTTTAAAACGTGACCAAATCGAGTCCCCCAGAAATTTTTGTTACCGAATTAAGTGGAGCAAATTAAGCGGATGAATTCCTTGAACTTCTTTTTATACCCTTGCAGAGGGTATTATAATTTTGTCCAAAAGTGTGCAACGCAGTGAAGGAGACATCTCCGACCCTATAAAGTATATATATTCTTGATCAGGATCACCTCCTGAGTTGATATGAGCATGTCCGTCTGTCCGTCTGTCCGTCTGTCCGTCTGTCTGTCCGTCTGTCTGTCTGTCCGTTTCTACGCGAACTAGTCTCTCAGTTTTGAAGCTATCGTCTTGAAACTTTGCACACACCCTTCTTTCCTTTGCACGCAGTATATAAGTCGGAATGGCCGGGATCGGCCGACTATATCCTATAGCTGCCATATAACTGATTGATCGGAAATGGTATAACTTTGGTGTTTGTAAATTTAGAGACTTTAAATTTAACATGAGAGCTATTTTTGGCGACAAATTACGACATGCCAAATTTCATAAGGATCGGCCGACTATATCTTATAGCTGCCATATAACTGAACGATCGGAAATGACCCAACTTTCGTGTTTTTGAAGATAGAAAGCTGGAATTTGCTACAGATTATATTTTTGTTCAGTTAACCCGACCTACGAAATTTCATTAGGATCGGCCGACTATATCCTATAGCTGCCATATAACTGAACGATCGGAAATGGTATTTGGTAGAAATATCAACTTTCGTATTTTTGAAGATAGAAGCTTGGGACTTTTTTTTAGATTTTTTATTGTAATTAATTGGTTTTATTATGATGTAATCATAAGGATCGGCCAACTATATCCGATGTTTGCGATATATATCCAGTTTTAACTGCAAGGGTATATAAACTTCGGCTCCGCCCGAAGTTAGCTTTCCTTTCTTGTTTTATTTTGAAATTTTAACTTTTTGATTTTCTTTATTATTTTTCTAATGGCTTAGGCTTCCTTCAATATTACCTCTGTTAAAGACTTTCTGTCCCCCCCTGAACCTTTTGTTCCATAATTATGTCAAACACATGGCCGCTGGGTGAACAGGGAGAAGATTCATCACTTGGGGTCCTGTCGAGTGCTAAATGTCAACGTGTCATGTGTGAGTTCTGCGAGGGGATGATCCTGTGCAGTAGCAGCGAAAGCCTATGTTAGTTTATCAAACATAATTAAGAACTTCTTGGTGTGTCCTGTGAGACAAAGAGAAAGGCGGGCGAGCAGAGCGGGAGAATAAACAGAAGTTTAATTATTTTGCAAGTCCTGGGGCAAGTGATTGAGCCACAGGAGCTCACCTTTTGACTTATGATGTATTGCATGCTCTATGACAGCTGACAGATGACAGCTCACCTCCTGACAAATAGTGAAGATGAAATGCCCAAAAGGATTCCTTAAAGCCGAAGCAGTTGGGCCAACATACTTTAAGAGCTTTCACTAATTACTCAGCGAAAGGGAAACAAGTTTTCCACAACATTTGCATAAATCAAACAATTAGTCACGCCGTCTATAAAGAGCCATTCCAAGGGCCTGGATGCCCAACTATTCAGCCTGAAACTACTGTCCAAGGATACTTCTTATTTCGGACTCTTAATGTCTCCCCGCGGTGCTGTTTCAGCCTCGTCTTACAACTATCCCGGCCCAAAGAAATCCGTATAAGGTGTCCTGCCGGATTCCTTTTCTAATTTATGCGACATTTGCTAGTTTGCCATTTTGGCATAATAACTTCTAATTCACCTAACCCGGCTCGACCCTTTTGCCAGACCAGTCATGTGGGGTTGATATTCGTAAGACCAAGTCCAAGTTAAAGCCAGAGTCAGAGTCGTAGTCCCAGTTCCAACCACTCAGCACTCACCACTTTTCGAGGCACTAATTTATGGTTTTGGGCATTGAAATTTATGGACAGAAAACTGAACAAAAATAAACACAAAATATGCGTATTTGTTTCAAAATACAACACCAGGCCCAAGGTGACAACTACTGAAAAAAGTTTTGTTTCTGGCGGGGTTCTTGAATTACAAGTCGAAAGTGTTGTACCCTTTTAGAAATTCGGTCTATTTAAGTGGATTGGCATTAGACATTTAACTCTTGAAATAAAACTATTAAACTTAATCTTTTATAACAAATATTTTTTTGGGCTTATTCGTTGTAGTTTCACATAAATTCAATGTACGTATTCAAGGCGAATACCTTTAAAACACACTCATCAGTTTCGTTCTGATTCGTTCTTTGTGCTAATTAATTTATTTATCACCTCTGATTAATCAAACAGTTCAGTAACCTTTTCCCTTCGGAGAGTATCAGAACAAAAATGCGGAACTCGAAGAATAAATTACATAAGCTGCTCGGTAATATTTTGTTCTGGCTTTTTTATATCCCTCTGGAAACTTCGCTGTACTGCCCACTTACCTCATCTCAGAACTCCCTCCTCTTTTCCAGAACCCACTTCTTTGGCAAATGCAATTGTGCAACTTTGTGAGACTTGTTTTGAAGCGGAAAACTCGTTTACAAGCCCCCGAAAAGATGCGGCGTTTGTGAGCCGTGTTTATATTTAGCAGTTTTTATTAGCAAGATTCTGCGTCACACCTGGTACTTACAACTACACTTCGGAAAACAACTATAGGGAAGAGAGTTGAAGTATTTTTGGATGACTCTTTAAATTGTCTTAAAGGTTGCAAATGTCTCCATAGGGTTGCCCTCTCTTGGGCTCAAGAATCCAAATTATACTACAATTCTTTAACAACCAAATATATAATCTTATAGGATTTTTAAAAAATAAATTATTTTTTGTATAAACTCTTTTTGTATTTTTTTTATCGGTTCTGGCCGCTTTCGCCCGCTGAGCGTATTTGGTAATCAAAAAAGCAGCAGCACTAGCAACAAACGGCGATGGCCAAGTTCAGTGGCCTCGAAGTGTGTTGAAACTGTTTTGGCCAGTTTTTCGGCCAGTTTATGTGGCCGGGGATAGGATTTGTTCTTACTTGGCGTGGAGCCACTCGATCGGAACCTGGAAACTGGGTTAAGCGTGGTCAGGTAGCAAAGCCAAAGATTGCCAAACCCACCTCTAATGCTCGGAGAGCAAATGAGGCAATATACCAAATATCATAGCCATCTGAAGTTCGGGGAAACCGAACCGATTGCCACACTGAAAAGTTGTGTGCCGTCTGAAATGACAAGAAAATGCAATTAAACGGCCAGAAAAATCAAATGTCAATCACGTTTATGGGCAGGCTGTTGGAGCTGCGGTGGAAACCTGTTGGCTCTCTAACATTTCAATGACTTTGAACTTTTGTTTGCGCTGGTTTGTGTAGCATTTACATATTGATTGTTTGGTTGACCCATTTGCTCGAAAACCGAGCTCTCAAGCGGCCCACGCCACTTCCACTTTCATTGGAGCGGCGCTGACTTTCTTTGTCCGGCGATCGATTTGTTTGAAATTATTAAGAGCCCCCCTCGGCTCGCGGACGACCATCGGCGGCTCAGTAACCAGTTTGAGCTTCGTTCTCGCCGCTGGTTGGCGGTTCTTTAGGCCGGGCTTTCATAAAAAGTCTTTGGCCAACTTTCTTGGGCTTCATTCGCGCTCTAAACGATCATGAAAGCGGTTCTCTGTGCGATTTTATTTTCCTTCCTGGCCGTCTTGGTCCAGGGCCTGCCCACCCAGGGCGGTGAATCCTTCGCGGGCCGTACTTCTCAACTGATTGCCCTGCAGCTGCTGAAGTTCAACAAGGATATTGACTCGAATCAGGTCCACTCGCCCCTAGGAGTTGCGTCCATTCTGTCCGTTTTGGCTGAGGCTTCTGAGGGAGACACCTTCGAGGAGTTCCAGCAGGTCTTTGGCTATCCCAAGGACAGGACTCAGTTAAGGGACATCTACCAGCGCATCTTGAGCAGCTACCAGAACCGAGATGCCGCCGTTGCCTTGCCCTCCTTCCAAACCTGGTTGTACATCTACCGAAACAACAGTGCCCGAGAGGAGTTCAAGGATATACTGCAGAAGCACTACTTTGTGGAGGTGAAGGACATTAATCGACAGGAGTACGATTGGAGTGAGCCCAATACCTCGCTGCAGCTGGAGGAATTGTCTGAAGGCAGCAACACAGAGCCCAGCAACAGCAAGGATGTGATTGGCTTCGAGACCCTGAAGAGGATCAAGCTGGATGAGGAGGATGATGTGCCGGCAATCCCAGACTCATATGGCCAGGAAATCATCAACAAGGAGGCGTCCAAGTTCGATCGAGAGGTGGACGACAAGCAGTATGTTGAAAAACCAGTTGCCCAGGCTGAGGCCGAACAACTCCAAAAAGAGCAGGCTGCCGCCACCACCGAATCCGAATTAGAATCTCAATCAGAACCGGAGGCAACCACCCCGGCTGCTATCTTTGCGGAAAAACAGGAAAAACCAGACATGATAGCCGAGGAAAATCCAGTAGAGAAGCAGCAGAACAAGCGCAGCGACCAGGAGAATGGCCCCGAGGAGAGTCAGATCAAGAATCTGCAGGAGAACGAGACGGTGCAGGAGGAGGAGAAGCTGGCCAAGCTCGTGCCAGCAGCCAACGTCGCTGCCGTGACCGCCGGTGAACCCGAGAAGGTGCGTCTTCCCCTCGAGAAACTAGAGAATGCAGTTAAGGCGGTGGCCAAGGATGGAGCCGACGAGATCATGATCGCTCTGGAATCCCACTTGGCATCAGTCAGTAGGGTGAGTATCTCTTACAAGGTTTTTTTTAAGAGACACGCTTTTAGGCGTGTAAAGCTTCTGTGATAAGGGTAACTTATAATATAATTTTGCAGGCTTATGGAGCCCGCAGCCTATTCCGCCAGGACGACATCACTTCTGCCCTGAGTGCCAACTCGATCACCGGGCGCTCGGCTGGCTCCAAGTCCAAGATGCTGCTCTTCAATGGACTGTACTACCGTGGCAGCTGGGCCAATCCCTTCTACCAGCTCCGTGATGGAAGTGATGAGTTCTTCTTCATGACCAACGAGGATGCCATGAAGGCGCCGATGATGCACGCCCGTGGAAAGTTCCAGGTGGCCGAGTTGCCCAAGCTGAAGGCCAGAGTCTTGAGTCTGCCCTACGAAACCTCCCGCTATTCCCTGTGCATTATCCTGCCGGATGAAACCGAAGGACTGAGTGATGTCATTGCCCAGCTGGAGACCAGCGACTTTGAGCAGGCCAAGAAGTCCTTCCAGCTGAAGGAGATGCACGTCTCCCTGCCCAAGTTCCAGGTGGAGGAGACCTCACGCTCCGAGGCCATGCTTAAGCAAATGGGCTTGAAGAAGCTCTTCTCCCGCACGGAAGCTCAGTTGGGATTGCTGTCAGAGGACCCGGATGTCCATGTCGATGAGATCGTCCAGTTTGTGAATGTGCGAGTGGACGAGGGCGGCAGCAGTACCAACGCCCTGTCCGCGGCCAACATGCAAGCCAGAACACCTAGTGTGGAGTCCACTGTGCTGCCCGTCCCGGAGCCGGAGCCCGAGCCCGGAGTAGAACGCTTCGAGGTAAACCGTCCGTTCGCCTATTTCTTAGTCGACTGCGAGGAGCAGTTTGTTCTGGCCTCCGGAAAGGTATACACGCCCGAGTTCAAGGAGGATCTCCCACCAGTCTCCATCGAAGTGGAACTAGAGCAGTCCTAGGCCGACTGTGAATTTAGACTTATAAGTTTCGTAACGAATTTTCACCGATCCCATGCAATAAATAAGCACAATTCATTTTCTCAAGCGAACAGTGGCCACCGATTTCCCAGGCAAGCAATCAAAACAATAATTAATTCGCTTACAGATGAGCACAATCGAAAGGGCAGCAGCAACCCCCGGAATTCAATTGTCCGTCCGTAATGTGAAATGTATCTGGTGGCGGGCATCGCTAATTTCCTTCGCCGTGATGCGAAAAATTTGTCATTGGGTTAAAGCCGGCAGGAAAAAGGGGTTGGGGAGAGGGCCGGGTCCTCTAAGCAGGACTCGAATACAGTTTCTGATTCAGTTGCAGATAGAGCTTGTGTTTCGATTCACGAGCCAGTCAAGCGTGAGGCGCATCCGCCACGTGTCCTTCGAACTGCGCCGGAACGAAAGCTGACAGGACTCTTCAAGTGGTCAATGGGCTGCAATTAAAATTCTCATTAGAATGCATGATGTCTTACTTACGTAGAGGTCTTGAGAGTGTATTGTGTATGTGTATCTGTATCTGATTCGCAGTCTGGCCAGGAAGTGCGAGCCTTCGCCCCTTCCCGCGTTTCACCAAGAAAGCAAAACACAACACCGAGAAAATGTGAGAGTCTGGAAGCCGAATGGGGGAAGGTGGCAATCCAGTCTGGAGCTGAAAGTGGCGCCGGCCTGGCGGGCGCCAAAAAGCAGAGGTAAAAACAGGAGTAAATGCGTGCCATGATTACAGCGATGACGACTACAGCTTCCACCCCAAAAGCCAGAAGGAACTCCGAACTGAAACCAAAGCACCCAAGGCATGCCGAAAGGAAAACCCAACTCCCAGACGCAGACTATGATGATGTTTCATCTTTTCCACATGAAAACTCACGTAACAAAAATTATGATAATCATAACTTTTTTCTTGTGGCGAATGCCACTCCTCCGCTGGACGCCGGACCCTGGGCGCTGGACGCAGGACAAAGGATCCACCGAAAGGTAGCCCAGCTCGGACCTTGAACACAAGACTGGCGTCTAGTTTTTCTGCCGTCTGGCCATTGCTCTATTTTTATGAAGTCTTTGCATATAAATCAATGTTCCCCGATATGCAGAAGAGCAGAAAAAGGTATAAAAGATTTATGGCCTTGGCCAGCCCAACTCTCAAGAAGAGAGTTCGTTTAAATATTGTTTAACATAATTTCGTGCAAAACTTTCGAGAGGATAGCTGGCTACACCCACGCGTAGAAAAATAAACAAAGTGGCCATAAATCCATCCGTCCAATTGCATCAGTGACAAACGTTAAAGATTTATGGCACTGCCTCAAGTCTAATTACAAGTCAAGTTTGTTGAATTGAAAAGTGGGACTTGTGGTAGCCGAGAAATAGCGCAACAAGTGTGGGAAATCACAAAGCCAGCTGTTTTCTCACAAAAAGTGGGAAACTCTAAATTGGGGGAACGGCCTCCCTTCCCCAAAATAAAAATTTTCTTCGCACATGTGTGCAACATCATTTGGGGAAACCAGAATGAAAGAAAGAACTAAAGTGGGGTATTTTTCTATACAATGCCGAAAATATACAAAATCAAATGGGTTGTCACTGACACAGAGTTAGCTATAATCAAAAGTCTTGAAAGGCTTCTTCGTGTCGCATTGTTTTGGCTTTGGGCCGGGGTTTGTCAGAGACCTTGTCAAAATTGGATATGTCCTCGGGATTGCTGATATTTGGCACATAGGGAGCATTCACCGTTTGGTTGAGCAGCGGTATCCACTCCACTTCCTTGAACCACTCATGCTCCTTGATATCCCGATTCCCATTAATGAGGTTTCCATAGCTTCAATGCACAAATAAATGGTTTGTTAATCAAAAGGCATTCCCTACTCACCGCTTTGAGAGATCCACTTGCAGCAAATGATCCACCAAGTGCCGCAGGGCCCCACTGAAGTAGCTGGGCATTTTGTAGTCTCCTTCACATATTTTATTGTACATGCTCATCACATCCCGGTTATGGGCAGAGAACGGCGAGTGTCCTGCCACAAACTCAAAGACCAGGACTCCAAATGCCCACCAGTCGACGCTGGTTCCATAGGGTTTCGATTGAATGATCTCCGGCGGCAAGTACTCCGGGGTACCACAAAGCGTCATGGTTCTAGTTTCCACTTTCTTTGAGGAATTTAAAAAATAGTTCGAGTATTAAATTACAAGAGAGAAAACCTTTCAAACCTTTGCAAAACCAAAATCGGTGACTTTCAGGTATCCATTTTTGTCCATCATTATGTTTTCAGGCTTCAGATCGCGATATAGTAGACTACAATGGTGAAGGTATTCCAGGGCCAAAAATACTTGGGCAGCATAGAAACGAGCCTGCTTTTCAGTAAACTTACGAACCCTAATATTTGAAATAATAATTTATAAATATTATATAATATCTATTACAATGAAAAGTACTCACTTTCGATGGTAAGTAAAAAGCTCGCCTCCACCAATAAGCGGTAAGACGAGGTACAGGCTGTCGTTGTCCTTGTAGGAAGCCACAAGATTAACCGTGTTGGGGAACATCATTGAGCGCAGGACATTCTTTTCGCTCATTACATGAGCCACCTGCTTGGTCTTCACTATCTGATCCTTGCTGAGCTGCTTGGAGGCGTAGTAGGCACCCGTTTCCCTTTCCCGCACCAATTGCACTTTCCCAAAAGACCCAGATCCCAATGTTGCCTTTATGTCGTAGTCATCCAGGCCCGTCGAGGGCGATGGTGTGTTCGTGGCGAACTTCTTGTTGAACTCATCACGCAGCTTGTCCAGGATGAGGATGTAGTCCACCTTGGGACTGAAGTGCATCTGCGGCTGTTCGGGCTGCGGACCCATCGCGACCCCTTACCAATTCTCTCTGTGGAAACTGTCTGAATTTTTGATAACCTTTGCCAATTCACTCTACCGGAATTTCGAATTTATGTCTCCTCTTCGTTAGTTTCAAGACATTATTAAAAAGATCACTGTTTTACTGACTTTAATCACAAGGGCTATATGATTAGGAATTTTTCATAATCATTATTAGACTCGTTTCATACATAAAAAATTTAAAAATACCTATCTTTTCAAAACATTTATTTTTTAAAAACAATTAGCAAATGTGCCTCTTTACAATAAAGACATTTTTCACACCAATATCACCCAAAACAAGCTAACAAATGCGATCTTAACATTTAAAAATTCACGAATAATTCCGGATGCCGGTTTATTCGCGACTTCATCTTGTCCTTCAATTCGAAGTTCTCGAAATTGGACAGATCCTCGGCGCCGGATACCGTGGGCACATAGGGTGCCGGAACTTCCTGGTTGAGAATGCCATACCAATCGATCCCTTGAAACCAGGGATGGTTCTTCACATCCGCAGCGCCGTCGGACGCATTTCCTAAACTAATAAGAAACCACACAACCTGCATATTTTGGAAAATAAGTGTCGCACCCACTCACCGTTTCGTGGTCTCCACCTGCATTAGACTTTCCACCAGGGTCTTCAGATTTTGAGTGAAGTAAGTGGGCATTTTATACTCGCCCATGCAAATCTTCGAATACATTAGGATCACGTCGCGATTATGAATGGCGAAGGGCGAACGACCAGCTACCAGCTCGTAGACAAGGATACCGAAAGCCCACCAGTCCACCGACTTGTTGTACGGCCGAAGTTGCACGATTTCCGGAGCCAAATACTCCGGAGTGCCGCACAAAGTTGAGGTGCGGCCATCTACTCGCTTTTTTGTTTTTAGTTAAAAGTTAATAAAGGTAAATATTAAAAAATTTTCTCTCACTTTAGTAAACCCAAAGTCGGTTATCTTGATGTACCCACGGATGTCCAAAAGAATGTTCTCCGGCTTGAGGTCCCGATACATAAGATGCATCCGGTGCATGTACTCGAGAGCCAGTGCCACCTGGCAGGCATAGAACCTAGCCTGCTTCTCGTTGAACTTCCGCATCCTGCGTATCTGATGCTCATATGGCTTTTTTGCATTTATTTTAAGCGGATGAGACTTACCTGCGGTGATAGCTGAAGAGCTCACCGCCGTTGACCAGTGGCAGGATCAAGTAGAGGTAGTCAAAGTCCTTTGTCGAGTCGATCAAATAGATGAGAAACGGAAAGCGGGCCGCGTTGAGCACGTGCTTCTCGTTGTGAACGTGGGCCACCTGCTTGAGTCGCACCAGATCCTCTTTGCTCATCATCTTGGCAGCATAGTAGTTTTTTCCAATCTTCTCCTTGACCAAGAGCTAGAAAAGAACAGTCACAGCCCGAGATTCTATGAATTGTCACCAGTAAACCTAACCCACCACGGTGCCGAAGCTGCCGTTTCCCAGGACTGCACGCTGGATGTAGTTCTCCAAGTTGGAGTGAGGCGATTGCGTCTGATGGTTCCAGCGCTCTTCGAACTCCCGGCTCATATTGTCCAGAGTGGTGTTGTAGTCCTCCTTAACATTGAAGAAGGACGACGCAGCCTGGCTCAAATGATGCTGGCTCATAACAGCAGTCCGCCCTCCAGCCAACGTGCATCTTACAGCACCAAGCGATTTCGATTCCCTATGGAGGAGTCGTCGTCGAGAGCTTCTGGACCGGAATCTGCGATCTGGGTTAGCTATTGGGTACTCAGCGGATATCAATATACAAGGAATTTGGAATTTCATCACTTAAACCAGATAGCAAAGAATCAGTGACGACTGACTCAAAGCCGATAAGTCTGTTTGTTTAATTTTCAGGTAATATCGGCAGATTAATTTCAATTCGTTGTGCCCTTGCGACTGCAGGACCAAGCCCCACTACTTTCAATTAGCCAAGCAGAGCCTTTCTCCAAGGTATGACAAATTTGCCTGCCCCCTGCCCCTTCCGGAGCTACTGAGAAATGACAATTTCCTGTGACTGTGACTGAGTCCACGCACATGTGGGCCAGCATGCGACTTCTCGACATGGCCTGGTCGGATTCTGGCTCCTGGTCCTGGCTTCGTCCTGGCCGCAAAAGTAAGAAAAATTGCAAAACGTCCGCTTGATAAATGATGCTAACCAAGATTACATAAGTTGGTAATTTTCTAGTACATTTATTTCCACATGTCAGGCCAGTCAGCCGAGTGGGAAGAACTCTCTTGCCAGCCGGCAGTCGGCAACCGCATCTTCATGTTGATGGACATGTGAGCCAGATTGTGTGGGATGGATAGTTGTAGGCTTAGGACGAACTTACGGCCGGATATTCGAGTTGTTGCATGCTTTTAAGGTAACTGTCGGCCGAGCCGTTTATTGGCCATTTTGGTCCTTGAAATTGCCAGGGACATTGTCCTACCTAAATTGACAATTAATCATTATCTTTCGGCCCGGACTCTCCGGCATTCAGATTGCTAGATGGGTCGACTTTAGGTTGGGCTTGTGTCCCTGCATGTGAAAATGGGTTTCTAAATATGCTTCGGTCTGACCTAATGTCCTGGCATTTATCCTGGCCCACTGGAGGACTTCATTATTGATTGGCTGCCAAAGGGTTTTTTTGTTGTCTTTGTTCGGATTTGGTGGGTCACGGGGTTCGGGTAAATCAATTCAATGAAAGTGGAAGTCTGACTCATCTGGCCACAAATTATTTTCCAGCTAGGCGGCTCCCATTCAAATGGCTTTTAATTCGCTTAAAATAAAACAAATCGTCACGTACTTAGCAAAAGACACATATAAGAAACTTTCACTTGCACTGGATCGGGGGATTCGTGCAAAAACTAAGCAAATTCACTTAGTTCATCTCAGTATGTCGAAATCCGAGCTCATTTAGTTTGTAGCACACACTGGAAATAATTTTGAATGAAAGCAAGGGACTCTATATGCTAGCTCCAAAACTATTCGCTATATCCTCTCTATATACTAGACCCATATCTTTTTCCAGTGTCCTGGCCCACAGCTGCCGCCAGATAAACTCCAGTTGGCTAAGATATGTTAACGACGGCCATAAATAAACGGATAATATCTGGTGGCAAGGCCTATATTATATGTGCTTTTCTCTATTTCGGATGCGTTTGCTTAAGCGGGCCAAGAGCAGATTAAGTCGTACGCACACGTTTCTTGCCCGTTTCTTTTGGCCACACTTAAAATTCATTTGTTGTCTTGGAGGACAGCCTCCCACTCCTACTCCCTCTCCCACCCCATCTCCCACTCGGGCCTTTGGTCCAAATCCTGCTACCAATTCTATGCAAAGTAATTGACGCCTCGATGAACTGTTGACACACATGGCATTTGTCTTTGGCTTGCTGGCTGCCAAATATTTGGCTTAGTTATCAGAGGCCATTTTTTGGGCTTAAGTAGGTGAATGTCCCGGGACTATGGCTAAATTCAATTATGCTGAAAGGTTTCAGTTTTCCAAATAATATCAGAGCCAAGCCAGCAACCCCCAGCCCAGCGAAAAGCAGCTGCCGTCGGACTGGCCTCAGCCATTAGCGCTAATCTCCGCACAATCGGGAATAAATCAAGGCACGCTTTCCACTCGCTGCCCGGAAAAATACAAAATGCAATCCGCATATTCCCCGTACTTGGTTCGTTCTATTCAATTCCGATCACAGTTCACCGGGCAGCAACAATGTAGCCTTTTAGCTCACCACCTCAGAGCCGTCCTTTCGACGTGTGCTCGGATTCAGAAGGTGTAACTAATCCGCAGGCCATGTGACTTTTGTCATGCGCCGATGTCAAATGCTACTCCATCCCGACAAATCGACACCCGACGGCCGACGACGAACCCTTGCCAATCGAATGGCAAAGGTTTTCCACTCGATTCCACCCCAAAAGCATAACCGAGCGGATGGCCTTCCACCTTCAATCAGTGTTTGGACCTTCAACTCCTTCTCATTGCCCCCCTCTCTATTTGAATCGTGTATTTGGTTCGATTTGTTGCTTGTAATCCCTTGATTCGGCTATGCACTTTAAAAAAACTCAACAGGATGTCAAAATAAAATTATATTGATTTATTAATCTGATAAAAAGGATATTAGAATGTCGTTGTAGCTAGAACAAATGGTATTTTACAATAAATGTTTTATTTTATTTTGATACTGTGTTTATTTATTTAAATAAAAACTCCGTCTTAATTCTTAATGTGTAACCGTAGAGAAATCATCATAGAAATAAATGCTCTGCGGGTGGGCCCATTGACATTTTGCAGTCGACTGGCCTAACCATCATGAAGGTCTTCCACCCAGTTTGGCAATAATTTTCATAATTTCCCTTTTCCCAGCCCGTAAGCGCTACCTTGCCGCGGGATAATCATAAATCAGCCACGAACTATTGACACAGCCCGTTAGCCATAAATCAGTGGGATTCAGGGACATCAGGTTGGAGCACACACACATGGCCCCTGGCCAGTAGCAGCCCAATATTTCAATAGCCATATTCTAAACAAATTGCTTCCAAAACCAGGAACAGGGATAGGGAGAGGGACTATCTATGAGAAATGCATCCGTAAATGTTCCGGCCGAGCAAATGCTCCGGCAAATAATGTAACAAAGCGCGGAATAAAACAATTGCCACAGTTTTAACATTTTAGCATTTGTTGCCATAAATAAACATGAACCCGGTACGATTCGGTTCTGGTTCTGGTCCTGATTCGGAATTTGCGATTTCCATTCCGAATCTCGTCCTGTGGCCACTTGCAGGCCTCTTCCTTTTCCGCTGCCGAATGCAAAAATGCTCAACATTTTATTGAAATTCAATTAAAGTCGTATTTCAATAATTGGTCACGCATGGTGCGCATTTCCGTGCCAGTCCGCTTCTAAATGCCGCTTCACAATTTATGACTTTTCAATTTCAACGTTGTAGGTTTTACATTTATATGTATCTTTTTTTTTTGCTAGGGGGCAATTGAAATGCTGCCACTTGGCTAGTGCCCTTTGTCCTTCGTCCTGGGTCGAATGGAAATCGGAAATTGTGGCAAAAATTGGTAGCATTTGTAGATGAGACTGGTATGGCTGCATTAAGCTGCAAGTTCTTATCAGTTTCTGGGCTCACCCTTGTCACCCAAACCGACCCAAAAAAAGAAACCGATCCCACTCCCCTCCCACTTTTCTTCTATCAATTTCACCCTTAACGAGTGCCTCACGTTAAGTGTGCAACATTTTTGCGTGATTTGTGCGAATTTCTCGTCGCCGAGGCCGATAAACTTCGCCGAGGGGTGGTTAGTTTCTCAACTGCCTTTGTTGATGTTGTTTAGTGCCATAAATTCTTTTTTACTTGTCATATCTGACTTCGGTCTTCGGCTGCCCCCCGCTTTCTCTCACTCTGAATTTAGGCACAGATCATTAAGTTCTGCACTGCGTCTATCTGATTTAAAGAGTCGGTTGGGAACGGAACATGTGTACTTTCATACTCCACACCCTGAATTTATCAAAATGTCAATTGCCCGGCAGACTGTCACGGCTCTTTAGCTTTAGCTCCACTCGGCAGGCGGGCAGCATCCAGCATCCTCTAATTAACGAGGCGTTGATGCCGCATTTCGACGGAATTATTTAGCAAAAAATCAATTAGATTCAAGGCATGCCATGGCCATCGCCAGCTCCAGACCGTGGCCCAAACTGACAATCTAGTGTAGACCAAATGCAATAGATCAAAACATCAACGAATACTGTCAACGAAAACACAACCGCCAAAGCATTAAATTTCAATTTATTTTCGAGTTCAAAAGGGAAATGTTGCAACTGAAGTGATTTTTTAATTTATATGGTATTGAGAAATTGAGTATTGGCCAGTCCTATTTCTCTTAAATATCTGCCTGCTTTCTGCATTGGAAGTCTCTTCTTATGCCAAATATATTTAAAATATATTTAAGTTAGGAATTAAACATTATATTGTCTGCTGGAAGTACTTGATATCTGCCAATTAAGATAAAACCAACGCATTTAGTGATTAGAACCTCACAAACTTATTTAAAAATTTTCAGTTGATTCCAGATTCTGTCCAAAAAACAATTATTAATTCTTTTAACATTTTTCTGTTAAGACCAAAGGGGATTGAATTCCTACTCTATAAACTTTATAGTATAAAGAAACAATAAACTGAATGGACACCTTACTGAATGGACAACGAAGAACTTATCGTTCTACCCAACAATAATAAACTCAAATAAACTTTACATTTCTTTAAATTAACGAAAACATTTTCCTTTTTGTCGAAATACGCCCACCCCTTCTCCTGTTTTAATTATCACATATTTTTGCACGCATGAGCATCATTTGAGGTGCATTCCGCGACACGGGAACAAGTTGCAAGTGCCGAACAAATAATTAACCTGAGGCACGATCAAAGCACCGCTGAAAACAACATCTCCTGGGTGTGTCCCTAGACCAGATTCCCGCCCAGCATCCCCTTCCCGACAACCTTGGCGAATAATTTCTGCTGGCCATGCTCCGTGCATCTTTACGATCGTCTTAGATCTCCGCGGGCTGCCAACATATTTTTACACGCCAAACATTTTATTTTGACAGGCGTGCGATTTGCACGCTTAATTGAGACAGGTGCATCCGCGGAAGGGGGTGGGCGGTGTGGGCCGGCGTGGGGCAGAGTGGTGGAGAAGTGGTGGCGAGGGGGCGGGAAATAGGAGACACGGGAAGTGCGGCCAAGCTGCGACATATGTTCACGTATGGTGTTGCACAAATGCGGAGATTTATCATCGTGCCACATGCCACGTGTGTTTTCCATTTTCCATTTCGTCGCCTGCGCTCCGCTGCGATTTTCACGGGAAAAGCCAGCGACGCTCGCCAAATGCAAAATTAACAACCTAATTAATAGTTTGCCGTGGCAGGACAGGTCCCCATAGATAGGATTCTATATCACCCCAAGCCATCCGATTGCATTCCGTTTTCCTACCCACTATTTTTACTTTTTTCCACAGTGCATAGGTACCACACCCACTCAAATGGTTGCCAAGTTCTCCTTAATTCTTCTAAATTTAAAAAGCAATATTGGGTTTGAGGAATCCTGCAATTTTTATATTTGAATTGAGTCAATTGCGCAAAAAGAATATAGTGAGGGGAAATATTATAACATGAAAGTAAAGAAATATTTGTATTAAGTAATATTAATAATATTAAGTATTATTCGATATAATAAACCATGCTATTTACTTATTGCGTTTTTTTCATTTTTTCCGATCTTTTTAGACGTTTTTTCTTTAAAATATTTATAACCTATTGTATATATGTGCGGGTATTATTAATTTTTAAAAATTAAAATTTGGATTTAAATAAAATCCTAAGTATTTTCTAGTCGAGAAAAAAAAAATCGCTTCTCCCACATGTCGCTTTTCTGTTTTTTAATTGGACCCATTCCGGGCACCGCCAATATTTTCGAGCAACGGAACCGCAAACTAGGAGTAACTAACTGCCAGCGGGCGGCCCTGTCAAAGTCAGCTGCCGCTTCTATATCCTATATCCTATTTGGCTGCTATTTGCTGCTTCTGTGAATGTCTGAAAAACGTTGAAAAATCCGAAATTGACTGCCCGAGCCCCTGGATGTCCGACTCACAGCTATTGAAGGCGTTTGCGGTTGGGGGCCGGACGTTTATTGAACATTTTTACTTGCGGCCGGCTCCAGAAAATGGTATATGCCGGGACTAGTCACTTTTATTAATTTTTGTATGCTAGCTCGTCTCAATTTCACGGACAGCCTTAAATGCAAATCGCTCCAAATGGGATTTGCAAAGGCCACTGAAATTGGCCAAGAAAGAGGAAAAAATGTGTATATATATATGCGTTAAATGCAAATTGGATAAGATGTCGTGTCGCGGGGAGAACATTGCATGTGGCTGCCAAAAGCAAGGCAGCAAGGCAGATATCCTGGCGGATATCCTTCGCCTATCACATGACTGAGGCTGAAACTGAAGCTGCAAGAAATCTGAGGCTGCGGAATGGAAACTTTAAAGTGGATTATATCTCGTCCTGGTCTTGGTCCTCGCCCTCGTCCTTTTACCGACCGCCCCTTAACCATCAAGTGCTATCTCCTGCGCTTTGCAAACATAAATCCGTGAGTTTTTGCTAGCAAAATTTATGGCGCTCGCGACACTCGCGAAAGTTTTGGCGGCGGCATCAGAGGCATTGTTGTATTTATGACCGCGACATGACCTGCTCACATAAACGGCCAGCTCTGGAGTCCTCCTGAATCCTGATCTGAAATCTGAAAGTGTTGCAGGCAGGCTTTTCTGTACGTACGTAGTATGTACGTGTACGTGCGAGTCCTGCTCGGAAATTGGATTTGCCGGAGACTGAAATAAGGAGCATTCTAAGCGATTTAAGCACCGCTCTTAAATCTGCACGCTTGTCAATTTATTTCTTAATCGAAATTTATGTTCGCTCCCCTAATGAGCGAACTGCAGCCTCGAAAATATAACAAGCGTCCCAGGAAGCTACATGCAAAACAGGAGCCTGGCACTTTGCCCCAATTCCAATTGAAGTTAATTACGTGGAACATTCACAATTCCAGTTAGCCACCCCTCGGAAAAAAATATTCGAACCAAATCAATTCAACCGGATGCAGGATGTCTGCAGGATTCTGCTTATGACTGCAGAATCCCATATACACACAAATATCGACATGAAACCACTCGGTGGTATATTTGCAGAATGTCTCCAGGCGAAATGGTCAGTCCATAATTATTGTTATGTTAATGGCAAAATGCTGGAGACAGGGAACTGCTCTCGGGGTTGATTGGGTCCGTTTTAGGCTATATCGACAAATGTTGTTTGTCCATCGGTTTTCAGGTTCTTCTTTGTGTTTGCCCTGCGACTTTGCATAAAAATGGATAAGTGTATTTTCTGGCAAGAGGGCAGAAATATTTATGAAGCCCTGCCCAGAAAGCTGTCAGAAATCAAGTTAATCATTCAAGCTTTGGTACATTTTCTGAGAGCTACGGTTTAGTCCAGCTATTTTCCAGATATGAAATCAAAATAAAAATTGGAATATAAAGAACGAAGAACACGAATAAACCCCTCCAAGATCAGGGGCTCAGTTTTTCCCAATGTGGCACAAAGCTAGAACCGAAAGGTAATGTATCTTTCGCTTCATCTAAGATGAGTCCGGAAAAGATGCACCAGGAATAGGAAGATAAAATACCATAGACCCAGAGGTAGAACCACAGGTTAAGCTCAGGCAACAACACTCCTGGGAGTCTCGAATGTGGAAACGCCATTACTGAACTTTCCAATTCAATAAGAAGTCCACCGTCCATAATTTGGACGACTCTTAGAGTAATTAACCTGGCGAATGCAGACTTCAAGTACCTGATCTGTTTTTGGAAGGTAATGAGTGAAAATCAGCATGATGGACTACTCTACCCAAAGAATAACCTGCAAAAGGGCATTCAAATATTCAAACTGGGAAATTCAAATTCAAACAATTTTTAACTCTTCAAATTTCCCTACAAAATGATTTGAATTTAAGCTTTTCTTTTTCTTACCATCTGATAATGAGGACCATGTCCAATTATTTCCGAAGGTTAAGTGTTCTTAAGTGTGCCACGGAACCCTGACTCAGCCATTAAGTTCACACTCCAAAACTCTCAAAGAAAATAGGCGTGGCATACGCACTCCTTTTTTTACGATTCGCCATAGCTTTCTGAAACGGGATAGGGAAAGGATTCAGGGTTGGGGCGATCTGCATCTGATCCAAGCGTCAGCAGCCCTGATAGGTGTGACATGTCCCGTGATTGATGAAATGTTTGGCCATAAGCCCAACCGAAAGGAGGAAGCACTGTAAAGTTTGAGGAAAAGGGGCGGATGCCACCGCTTGGACCGCCAACTAATTTCCACATTTTTCACATTTACGAAGACAAATTGAGGTGCGAACTTGGGTCGAGGCAATAAAACTGCCGAATATCAAAACAACAAAATCTTTGCAACAGTCGGCTATAAAAAAAGGAAGAGGGCGAGGAAGGGATTTTGGAGAGGAAGGGTTGGACCTGGTCTGGCAGTGGCAGGCATGCGAAATCCTCGAATGCCAATTGTTTCCCGATTCTCGAGATGAGCATTCGCCGAAATCCGTGAGAGATTCGCATTATGAGTCGCAGGAGGAAAGGGAAAGGGACCGGACCACTATAAAAGTCAATATCTAGGACAATAAATTGCGACTCCTTCGATACAGCGGCACTCGTCTTTTGAGTTAGAGTTTGAATCGTGAAACGTGGCGAATCGTTCGCCATTTGAGTTTTCCATTTTGGGTTTAGTTTTCCATTTCATTTCGTTTTATGCCGGCCCAGCCGAAAGTTGTCAACGGCCATAAACGCCGACCGGGCCAGTCCCCCTGTAAGTTTTCCGCTTTCCACCCCCTTTCCCTTCTTGACTTTTCAATAAAAACCCAACACCAGCCGCAGACTCTACCATTCCTACCATACCCATTTCCATTAGCATAATGTCTGATGCGGACTTTGATTTCCCTGGCTCCTTGGCTCACTTTCGATTTGCCACAATTCTATTTTATTTATTTGCCGGGCATCGAAATTACATTTTAAAAAGTTTGCCTCTCGTTTGTTTTATTTGTTTCTGTTTGAAGTACAACGAATTTTTATGGCTAATATATGCGCATGGGAAATTGATTTGGCCTCCTTCTACTACACGTCCATCGGGATTCTGGGTGGTGGGGTACTTGCCTTGTTGTCTTAATTCTGCGCGACCTTGAATGCTGAGCGCTGCTGCGGCGTTAATTGTTAATCGAGTGGCAATGCCATGTCAAGAACGACCTTGGCGAAAAGTAGAGGATCCATTATTCACAGCGAATCTGGTTCAAGAGCATCGAGCGCCGAGGGCTTCCAGAAGGGGTAGAGTGGGGCTGCAGATTTTGAGTTTTTCGCACGAAAATAGATTGGCCGCAACATCTGGTTCGTATAAAATGGGAAATTTAAAAGATGGAAATGCAAATGGAAAGTCTTCGGCCTAACGCAATCTGTCGAAAAGTTCACGCACAGCACAGTGATCTTCTGGGTCCACACTTCCCTGGGATACGTAGTACAGTAAGGCCAGTAGCGCGAACGGCAGCCGCTGAGAGCGCTCCAGTTGACACCAGTGGGTTCGCAATTCGGTTCTCAAGCGACGACCCGAGGTCCGGGGGTGCCTTCTGCAAAAGCTATTCAAGAAACTAATGCGAAAATTTTCGTAGGGGGTCTTCTGTAACTCATCACCTGTGATGGCCTTCCACTGGAAGCGCAGCTTCTTCGCGGGTGTCAGGAACTCCCAGGCAGGTGAATCAGTTCCTTCACACTGTTTTTCTACGAACTTTTTGTACAACTTTTTGGCCAATTTTTCAGTTTTTGCGCATTGGTTTTCAAAGGAGGATTTACAGCGTGTTTTTCTTTCTCTGGCCTTGCTTTTTTGAGTGCCAGGATCCTTGGGAAAAAGGGTTTTCACCAAATGCAGTATATTTTCCTGCACCTTGGAGGCCTCTGTCTTGGCTTCCTCTGCTGAATTTTCATCACAAACGTCCTCTACCGATGTCTGGCTCTGCTCTTCGCTCAATTCCTGTTTTACGGGAGGACATTGCATCATGCATTCGCTATCACTATTAGATTCCGGTGGACATTTATGTTCAGACATAAAGTCGTCTTCGCCGTTTTCATTGTGGAGTCCTTCATTTTCCGAAAAAGTTTCTTCCAGAACCATCTTCTCCGAAAAACACACTTCTTCAGAAGACTCATCTTCGCCCTTTACTTTACATTCCGCTTTCTCGTTTTCGCAACTATTGAACATTGAAACCACTTTGCGGTTTCGCAAATCGGAAAAGCGAATCAAACGAGGTTCACCCATCGCCTCGCCATCGTAGGTGATCAAGGGACCCGGGTACTTGTGGTGGATTGTATAGCTGGCATGTTTAACCACGTAGCATTCCACCTGCGAATTGTCTTCTTTTTGAGTCTCGTTTGAACAGTAGTATGCTTTGCCCGCTTTATTTTTTCCTCTGGAACTCTTGTTGCACGATCCATAGCCCAGACTGATTAGCAACTGGTTCAGCAACTCGCAGATATCTGTATTTAAAATTTTACAAACAGTATTCATATTCTTCAGCCTTATAAAAATAAAAGCATGCAAAACGTATTCCGAATTTCAAGAAATGTGTGTTATAACTGTTTATCGTGTGATTGTTTTGTCAAGGGAATCCTGCTGCTTGTGCCCAATTTTATCCTGGGTAATATAGTGTTCATGAAAATATATGGCCCTCGCATTATAAATGCGAAGAATACACGCTCGCATAAAAGTCGAAACAGGGGCGGGGACTCCAGAGTATGACAGCAAATTTTTCCATATTAAAAATGCTGCTGTAGCTGCAAAAAAATAAATATAGATAGAAAAATATCAGAACAGAAACTGAAATAAAAAGAGCAACGGAAAGGAAAACATTTGGATTTTATTTATGTTTTCTGCTTATAATCTCCTCCCCGCCTGCCAAAACAATTGGAACGTTCATATTCATTCTTCCGATTAAGCAGTTTTCATGGTCATCGCCATGGCCGGGATAAAATAAAATAAGTGGCCTAAATAAAGGCCAACAACGAGAGAAGGCAATCAAAGCCAACGAATGAGAAATCTCTCGCCGCCACTTTGCCAACCGATCCAGAGACCAGAATCGCTGCAATTATTAAAATTAATTTCATTTATTACATCATGAAAATATTTACTATATTTTCGCCATCCATTGAGCAAAATATTTTTGCCACACGCTGTCCCCTGCAATTAAGGATTGGACATTGACTTTTCTGTCTGTCCTGTCGATTTTTGTGTGTGCGTAATTTGAAGTTAATAATGTTGAAATAAAATACCCCATTCGAAGACTGTTGTCCCCCATGTGTGGCCAACAAATATTGGGAAAAGTCAACCCACGAAAACACTGTAAAAAGAATACAATTTCTTGTCGATGAAATTCTAAATAAGTTAGTAGGAATAAGTTTCAAAACTCTTGCGTTTCCATTTTAAATTATTTATTATAAAGGTTATAAAATATGAAATAGATTAAAGCTTGAACATTATTTTTGCAGTGTCTAAAAGGCAGGGGGTATACTACCTATAAAGTCTGCATTTAATTGCCATGAATACGTATATTTTGTTGATATGTGTTCTAATATTTTTGTGAATTTATGTTGTGCACTTGTTAAAGCGGGAAAATATTATGATTTACTATCATTCTTCCTCAACCGATAACTGGTCAATCTCTAGAGAATCTAGCTTTTAAAAAAAATCATTTATGAGCTAGGAATTCCCAAACGTGGCGAAGTTGCATATATCTTGGAGATTCGCCTTCTTGATTTTTATGATACCTAGGTGAGCTGGAGTACCGTGTAGCTACTAATGGCGATGCGTCGGCCACAGCTCCCAGAACAATAAAATTCCCATTTAGAAGTGGCGTGAAGCTTTCGCAGTGCCCCTTGCCCCAGACTCCAGAGACTGCCCCCGGAAAAATGTGGTGGCAGCAGTTTTCCATCACACTGTGCGTTTACGTGAAAACAATTTTTATGGCATGTCAAAAACCTATTTTAATGCTTTTAATGAAAGCGAATTTTATTGCATTACTTTTCGATTTTACTGCCCCAGACCCTCAGAAACGTTCTGAGCCACTGAACCACCGCAACCACCGGCAAGGACGAGGCGTAAAAATGCACTCAACTCAAAATGTTGACAAGATCGTAAAAAGTTTTCCCGGGTTGGCTGAAACAGAAAAACAGGTGACAAAGCAAAAACAGAAACCACGAACTCCAAGAAAAAGTAAAACACAAAACTTGCTTATAACAAAAGCCACTTAAACTGCCAATTGCGGTGACTTTTCCACGAGCTGTGTCACAAGAGGAAAAATAACATTTTCGCTAGAATTTTTGCATAAATTAGAGTTCTGCTGGCAACGTCTCCTGAAAGTATGCTTCGGATTTTTCGAGCTGGCTGCTACCTTTGCCAAATTCATTTGACCAGAAACTTAAGTTATATTTTGGATCACAGCCAGGAGTGCAGAAATCAGGGGCTCCACATGGGAGACATGTTTAGTGGCACGGCAGCGACAAAAGCTTTCAGCCATAAAGGATGCAAAAGGATGCGGAGAGGCAAAACGAAGGACTCTGACTCTGCACACGTCGCCTGTCGGAGCACTCAATGTCAGCAGGAAAATGGAGGCAAAATGCAGTCCGCCGAAACAATGACATGAATTTTGGACGCACTTTCCTGCCACACACCCCGGTCCCTACCACCCCTCGGAAATCCATATTGCATATGCATTAAATATCTCATATATGGCGGGGCAACTAAATGGATTCGGGGTCGCCGCTATTGACAGGGTCAGTCATGCATTGTTGGCCGGCCAAAAAGCGGTTGGGTTGTCAGCGGCAGGACAGCTTTTGGCCCGGCCCGATGATTTCTGGGTGGTACAAAGGGGTACGTCTAAAACAAAGGACTTCTCCGAACTTTTTTCAAAGCCAGAACAAATGATATTAGGTTTTAAATTACTACAATGGGTTTTTTTGTTTAAATTCTCAACACTCCCAAATAAGCTAAGTTGTGGAAGTACACTGCAATTTATTTTGGGGTGACTGAGAGCCAGACATCTATTGCCTCTTCAGCTGCGTGACGAATCTTCTTCCCAAGCAGTGTCATTAGCTTGGATTCATAAAAAACAATGGCAATGGCAGCCGCAAGTGACAAAGTTAGAGCCACGAATTCGTTTCATTGGCCCATAAAAAATAGCAAAAACAAAATGCAAATGAGAAAGCGATGCGATGCGGCCTTTGCCAAAAAAAGGTAAGACTCTTTTGCAAGTAATTCTCGCCGCCAGAGACCCTTGACATTAGGGGTCTCCACCCACCCCACCACTCGCATATAATTACAGTTATTTGTGTAGCTAATTAATTGCTAATCAATCATAGGACGAAAGCGAGACAAGCCCAGAGACCCACAATATAAAAAAAGAAAAGGACGCGCCGTTGTTTGCCTGTCACTAGACCCTGGCCAGGACATCTCAATCCCGGGACTTCTGGGGCATCCCATCCAGTTTCATCATCATAGGCGGCGACCCAACTTTTGTCCAGAGACAAAGCCCGGCGAAAACAAAAGCTTAGCAAGATTGATCACAGCAAACTGGCGGACTGCACCTGTTTGCTTACTCACGGTTATTAGCCAGGACACGCCAGGATCCGGGGGACACGCGGGTAGAGATGCAAATGGCCAGCGGCGCAAAAGCACTTAAAGAAAATACCTAATAAGTCATTGTAATATAAGACAACTCCTAAAATTGCTTAATTTGTTAATATTTTACTCTTGCTTAAAGTATTTTATAAACATTTAAAAAATTTAAAATAATACTCTTTTTTCTGAGTGCATACTTGGCCTTCCATAGCCGAGAAGTGTCAATCCTGGCCAGCTTTTTTGCACCTTGCCGGAAGTGTCGAGTGCTTCTGGAAATCCTTCGGCATCCCCGTTGTCCTGTCCTTGTCACTGTCACTCAGAGCTGACGTCAGCCTCCACCTCGTCCCCTTGCTCCCATAACCCGCCCACTCCTTTATCCTTTTTTACTCGCCTTCCCCTTGGAGTTTTTTTTCGGCGCACATTTTATTTTACATAATTTGAACATTTAAGACGTGCCTGGGCATAGACAAGCGGCTTTAGTTTTAGTTTATGCAACCCCGCCGTATCCTTGGGTCCTGCTCCTGTCCACTTCCGTCCTTCCACACTGGGCGCAGTTCCTCTCATTTTATTATTAAAAGGCATTCGCATCCTTTACGCCCCAATGAGTTTTATGAGCCCGGCACTGCCCTCAGCTCCTCACGGATTTCTTTCGGCTGTCAATCCGGGATGTCTTCATCTTGTGGACACAAGTCTTAGTGGTGGAGTCGGGGCAGGGGTTTGGGAACGCGTTTAGTGTTCGCAATTCACATTTGTATTTGTCAAAAACTTGCACGTTTGCCGTTTGCCGTTTGCTGTTTACTGTTTGCTCTTCGGCCTGCAGAAAATTTTACAGTTAACCCAAATTGTCGGCAATTTGGCCAAGATGCTGTAGATGCTGTTCCTCTAACCAGAGTTCGCCATTTGATGATCCTTTCAATTCAATTGTTTGATGGTGGAAGGAGTTAAGTTAAGTGATAGTAAAGAGCGTTCATAACGCGTTTGATGGCTCTATATATGAATTCGAATGGAAAGGCTATACACTTGGAAAACTTCAAGAGAGTTTTAAAATCTTAATATCTATTGAAAGTAAACTAGATTCTGTTTTTAGTGCCTAGACAGGTTCAAAGGTGATGTCACAACTAGCACTCTTGTCGCCCTCCCTCTCTGCAGGGGGTGTCCTTTTGCAGGGTGTGGGATTTGACCCTCTGGCATGAGTTCCATTGTCCTGGCTGATTGGTAATTCGATACAGTTGTTCGCTCTGTGTGCAAATCTTTCGAATCATTTGAAGCGCATCGCCAATCGAGGAAAACTTGTCCGCTTTCCCAATCAAACATCCCTTCCCTGTGCGATTTTTCCTTCCCTGATCCATATTTTTTTTATTTCGGCGCTGGCTCGTGTCTCGTGTCTCCGGTTGGCACTAATTTTCCTGCTTGTCGCGCCGTGCGAAACGTATAAATAATTTTATTTTATTTTTGTTTTCATTCCATATCAATACTATTTATGGACTAATGGATTTATGGCTGGAACGCACTCTTACCCTCGATCCTAGTCGATTGTAGTGTGTACATCAATATCGGAGAATGTCATCTTCCTCGGCACGTGTGTTGTCCTCGTTTCCGCAGCCACCGCCATTATCCTGTAGGATGCAGCTTTAATGTCCATGCAATTATGAATATTTTTTCGTGTGGGAACTGGCACTAGAATTTCGCATGGATCTCTCTGAGAAATTTCTCGTGGCTCGTCGACTTCTTATTATTCTTTCATTTTGGCAAATTGTTTTCGTTTTATTAAATTTCTTTTCACTTGATAGTCCCTTTCGGTTGCTCCTCGTTTTTTTTATTTCGGTTATTATTATTATTTCTACGATTGGCCAGAAGAGAGAAAGGTTTCCATTTTGCCTTTGGGCCAGCAACTCCTTTCGGCTTTTAATAAATGTCCAGCCAGCAGCTGAAGCCGCTCGTATTTCGTCTGCCAGCAGCTCAAGAAATATGCACAAATTAATTTT